CCTGCCCCTTGTCATTTACCAAATCCCGATCCCGAACTCCTCTCTCGTTTCTCAGCTCCGACGATCCCGACTCCTCCTCTCCCTCGTTTCTCAGCTCCGACCGATCCCGCCTCCTCCTCTCCTGCCCCTTGTCATTTACCAAATCCCGATCCCGAACTCCTCTCTCGTTTCTCAGCTCCGACGATCCCGACTCCTCCTCTCCCTCGTTTCTCAGCTCCGACCGATCCCGCCTCCTCCTCTCGCGATCTCGAATCTCTCTCTCTCAACACAGCAACAGGTATCTCTACGATCTCTCCCCTTCTCCTCTCTCGTTGAAACCCTAGATCTGATCTAGGGTTTCGGTCTCCCCCTTACTCCTCTCTCTCCCCCTTCCATCGAAACCCTAGTTCTGACTTGGATTTTCTCTTTTGTAGCTTGTTTCCTCTCTTTCAGTTGCTCTCCTAGCTCTAGGGTTAGTTTTGGGTTTCGTCTGATTTTTTTTTGGATTTGCAGGCTACTGTCAGCGACTTGCAGGAGGAGATTCATACCAGAAGTAATAGAGGAAGTGTTTTTCAATCATAGGTGAGACTTGACAGATCACAATATGCTAGGTTCATCTCAACTTTAGTGTTTATGTTGCTAGAAACAGCCATACCATTTGTGATTATATTCAAATTGGGACAAGTATATGGCATAGTGCAAGGTTACGCCTTAATATCAGTATATGACCCTTGTTCCAAGAATGTGTAATAAAAATATCTAATAGAAAGCAACGACGAATAGTAAATTGGGTACATGTAGAACTGAAAGTAACTGGAAAATGATATGCGACTGCTCTGCACTTGTAGATGCATATTAATATTCCATGATATTTTTAAGTCTAACCAGTTTAAAAAAGATCAACCAGACGCACCCATTATATTGAATTTGACAGTCTCATCTCAAAGGATATAACAACATTTTAATGGTTTTAAATAAAGTTCCTATGGGTATTCTAATTCAGCTGTATTTGGGGAGGTACTGTGATCTTGTGGGGAGTTTAAAAAAGATCAACCAGACGCACCCATTATATTGAATTTGACAGTCTCATCTCAAAGGATATAACAACATTTTAATGGTTTTAAATAAAGTTCCTATGGGTATTCTAATTCAGCTGTATTTGGGGAGGTACTGTGATCTTGTGGGGAAAGCTCATACACAAGCAGATAATTCTATTGATCTGAGCACACATTCGGGGAATGCGATAGGGGGCATTTTGATACTTCTAATCAGACCTTGCATTTTCCCAGTTTGCACACCATTGCATGCTCAAGATATTCTGACAGCTGGGAATAGTCAAGTCGGATAAACTTGTATACGGCCTCACTTCTATGCTCCAAGACATGCGACATTAGTTCCGTTTATGATTGCCGATGCGCAAGACACATGTTACTAGAGCATTGAAGTGTTCATGTTTGATGAAGATGTGTGTGTGTTTGTGGATCATGTTTTTTCCCTGCTGGCAGATACGCCCCCAATACATTAATATATGTTCTTGGCCTCCTCTTGATACAGATTTTCTGGACATTAGTGTTGGGTCTTTTAATTAAGTTGTAGGTGAACTGCATTCTTCTTGAATGTTTGCCCGTTGTCACATCCAACATCTTCCAATTATCTTGAAAGATAGCGAAGAGTTGTGTGCTCATAGAAATAGAGAGCTGAAAAGAAAGTGAACAATTAACCCTGTTGCCCAGGAATTCAAGAGAATGTCCGTATTGCTTTCGATGATAAAAAATGCTAAAGGAATCAAGATAATTTTTTTATGTGATCATATTCCAAATTCTACAAGTATTTCCAATGATCTTCTACCTCTTAGATCTCTGTCTGTTATTATTTAATTAGCAGTATTTGGATACTTGTTTAGACCATTTGCATCTGTCTGTGATTATTTCATTAGCAGCATTTGGATTGTCTTTATCCATTGCTCTAGCTTTATCACAACATTAGCTTGTGACCTTGTCCATGGATAATGACATGCAAATAGAATGTCCGTATTGCTTTCGATGATAAAAAATGCTAAAGGAATCAAGATAATTTTATATGATCTTGGAAGTTACTTTTGTAATGCCTGTTAGTAGAGGATATTGAGGCCAGTCCATTTCTGTATTCTCCTTATTTCTTCTCACGTCTCTTTTAAATCCATCTCAATTGTTGTGCAAGAAATCTTATGCACTAAGCTTTGCAGGACATCAGTTGTTCGGATTATAGGAGCACTATTGTTGTCTTAACATGGAATATAACATAGTTCGTAAATTTTGATTCATGCCATGAAATAAAAGCCCGTCTCGAGCGAGTCGAATAAATTATGGACGTCTTAGAACAAGCCTATCTATGTTACTGGTTTTTGGTATAATTCTACTTTGAGGTGTATGCTTTAAGACTGTCGATGCATAGCACGTATATCAGCTGCATACCATTGATCAGCCTATTTTACGTCATAGACATATAACTTTGTAATATTACACCACATTCCTAAATGGATGATGAAATTGTACGTTAGCTTGTAACTCAGGGCCATTATGGAGAAACCAATGCATACTGTAGATAACCAACACATGTAGTGTCAAAATGCATAAATTCTACTTGAAGCAAATGTCTTGATTCACCAGATAGCACATTTTGCTTTTGAAATTTTGAAAACTGTGAGTTGGTGGCAAAGGAGCTTGCTCTCCTTTGCTGATTAAAGTCTTCGAACAAATTAGCTTGCACTTATATTATTCTTTGTCTGTTAAGGTACTGCAGAGAATGCTTTTCCTTTTCACAAAATTTGCACTTGTTTAATTCTTTGCTTCAATTTCACCATTTGGTCCCTTTTATTTGTTTTTTAACTTTTATAAGTAGAGGAGCTTATATTTTGTAATACTTGATATGCGTTGTTTAAGAGGAAGTGATCATCCTAGGTCGCAGCTAATAGATCACTAATCAAATAAATTATTTGCTTTCAGGCAAAATTTATTGCTTTGTTGATCCTCATTCCTTGGGTCTTAGACTTTTTGGTTCATGATTACCTTCTCATGCCATTTCTAGACAGGTACCACTTACTGCCCTTTTTTTTTGAAGTTATGTTGTCCTTCCAGCAGAGATATTCTTGATAGTTGATCACATTCTGATGTGCAAACATTCAAAAGATGATGCACCAATGTCAAGACATCTAACATCATGATATCATGAATTCATAATATATATTGCATTTATGAGAACCTGCAGACCTTTTGAGATATCATGATTCATAAATATATATAAAGAAACTCAAGTTCAAGCGCTTTCTTGTATATGTGTTTACACCATTATGGTTTGCATCTTTTACCCTTCAGAATATCACAGTAGAAAGAATGTCCCTTGTCACACTAAGGCACCATGTCTTTCCTGCAACACATTATTCTCTCTTTGCAACAGATGAAGCCCTCACATTATATCATTTTCAGCATGCTAATTTGTATATTGCAATGGTGCTTGTGCTTGTGCTTGTGCATCAGGAGTGGATTTTCTCATGAGAACCAGCTATCATGTAAATGCATGGACATGTAGAAAAACATGGACATGTAGAAAAACATGGTCATGTAGAAAAACATGGTGATATGTAAATCAGAATAGCTTTGTCAAAAATGTGTTTCCAGAACTAAATCGACATTCTTCTAGCTACTTGTTATTGTTTGACAGAGCAATTGCATTTCATTGACATCTTACTAATTTTTATATCTATTATGATATTATCTATTCTCAATGAAAACAATTTTAACTTTATGCGATATGAGCAATTCATTCCTAGCAAGTTTGTCTCTGTTGCTTTTGCTCTCAGAATTCGTTTTGTGATTAGCATAAATTCCTATTATTATGAGTTATATGCTGATCAAAGAATTCAAATGTTTCTTTATGTGCTACCAGATATGTGAAGACTGTACCTCTTGCTGCTGAGCTGCTCGATGTAAGAAGACATCAAAAACTAGAGATGTTAAAAACTTTGAGAATTGAGAGAGGAAGGTTTCAGTTAGAAGTTGAGATCGGTAAATCTCCTCCTCTTTCTGAAGAAGAGGTCTGGTTAGAATTGCGGCAGAAAGCGTAAGATGGCTTTTTATTGATTCATTTTCTTCCCCAAGTTGTTTTAAAAATATCTGTAGATATTTATACCATTTTTTAACGTCGAATTCTTGATATCTTCTGAAAGCATAATCTTTTAAGTCCATCAATTACTTTTATTTTTCCGAAGATGAAGAAGGGCTAAGTTAAAGAAAGAATATGTTGTTTCTTGGAGATTTATCAAAGTGATGTGATGAGGAAAGATGGAATGCTCTAAGAAAAAGAGATGCATAAGTTGCAAAGAAAATTCTTGAATATCTTGATTCCATGAAACAATGAAATTGCAGGCAAACATTTTAGACTTCAAAGTTGAAACCCAAATCACATTTTACTGATAATTACTGAGTTAAAAGCTGTTTAGCTTGAAAATTTTAGTATTCATAATGCCTTAACGGTAAGGTCGCACAATATGGTTCTGTGTTTCAGGAAAAGAAGTCCTATTTGTACTTCATTCTATTGATGGTGACTCCTAAATACCAGCAATCATGTGGTATCATTCTTTTCAATAAAAGGACATTGGTTGTCTGGTCGTGTTTTTGTATTTCTGTTTCTATCATCATTATCATAATTTTTTCGAGTCTTTATCTACAATATCTAGTATTATTGTCATAGAGAGTTAAAAGTACATTTGTTTAAACCTTTGTGTATATAGTGTCTTAGGCTCTTAGCCTCTCATTGTGCACATCTAACCCATTTTTGGCTGATAAAACCATTACAATTTTTTATACCTCACCATTGAACCATCAGATATTAGAAGTCATTTATAGATTTTGTCTTTAGGGAGCCTATGTCCATAGTAGAATATGTATTATGTAGGATACTAAACTTTGTTCAGTTATCAAGGTTTGTGTCACTAGAATTCGAACTTGCATACTGTTACTTTTTAAAATTTCTAAGATCTTATTGAGATACTTTTATGATTTATTCCATTTATTCAGTGGTTATTTCATTGTTGTGGTTATCCAAATAGATCATCTTACTAGACACGAAATCCTTGTGAAAACCTGCTAGTAAAGAAAGCTTCTGGACATCGGATGGTGCAGAATTGATCTTATAAGTTCTAAAATTCGGAAAAATGTAGTAATTCATGACTTCTGAGATAATTAGATTGACCTTCCCTTTGCATGCAGACAACGTTTGAGCTAAAATTGTATTGTTACGAATTGATCTTATAAGTTCTAAAATTCGGGAAAATGTAGTAATTCATTGCTTCTGAGATAATTAGATTGACTTTCCCCTTGCATGCAGACAACGTTTGAGCTAAAATTGTATTGTTACTCCGTAATCTCTGAGCCATTGATATTTCTCTTTACCTGCTCACTGGATATCTTCTTTCTCGTTGCTTTTCTAAACCTTATCATATTTATTCTAATACAGGATATTGTCTATTACATGGATGATAATTGTACTACAAGAATTGTATTGCTCTTGGACTCCTAGACACAAAAAAGTGGGGTCCATAGCAACCAATAATTTCCTTTTGCAACTTACTAGAAAAGGTCCTACTTTTTTGTGTGTAGGAGTACCAAGAGTAGTATAACCCTTGCGTGCAATTATCACTACTCATATTTGTTTTGGCCCCTCCATTCTTGTCTCAGTTGAAAGGCTTGTATTTAATGTCTTACAGGTTGAGCTAAACTTGAACCTATGAGGCATTTAATACTCCTGTAGTCACTTCTAAATGATCTTTTAACAAATTGGTCGAACAAGAACAACATTTTATTGAACACAGTGCTAATTTATTGTCTCTATCCCTTATCTACCCTTGATAATTACTGAAGTTAACAAAATTTATTGTCTCTATTTCTCTTGTCAAATACTCAACTTATTAGTTGTATACAAAGCACTTCATTTCCATTTTATAGCCACAATGAGTTTCAAAATATACTAAATATATGACCTTTACTAACACCTGTTCTTTATTTTCTATTTTGCGTAACATTTATACAGAATTAAATTGTTACCGGTTAATACATTTCTTCCATAAATTTCTCAATTTTTGTATATTATTATGTTGGCTCTCCTTCATTCACTTTTCTGTTCTTTCATTTATCATAATCTTGTTTATTTTATCAGCATAGAATTAAGAGACGAGTGGAGATTAGAGAATCGACGAGCATTTGCAAATATCTGGTCAGATATGGTGTATGGGATTTCATTATTCATTCTTATTTATTTGAATAAAAGCAAAGTGAGTTTGACTTTTAACTATCCTAATTTCTTTTTTTCCTGTTATTGAAATTATAATCACACCTACAATAACGGCAAACACAGCTCATCTTTGTATTTAAAATTATTTATCACTGTTCTGAATATCATAATCATACTCACAATAAGAAAATATTTCTTATTCCTCTTTAGTTTTTTTTTTTGCTTAAGAGTTAATTTGCAAAATTCTGATATTCTTATGAGAATGATCTATTTGAGATAATACTAGTGGTTCTGTCCCGTTGTTTAATTTTTTTCCTCTTTTTCCCTATAAGAGTTTTCTCTTCTTCACCTCTAGACTACAAAGAGCAATTTTGCTTCCCACTTTTGTAGCATAGCTTGTATCTTAGGACATAAACCTCCATTCCACTTGCTAGCAACAATTTTCTTCGTTTGAAATCTTTTCATAATAAGCCTTCTCATTAGCTCAAGCATTGTGATGATAGGGTTCTTCCTTCTGCTTCTATTATGCTTCTGTAGTTCTAGAGTTGTCAAAATTACATTTTTGTAGTCTCCTTCAATTATCTGAATTGCGAAAATTGCTCTTTGTAGTCTCCTATGATTATATCAGTGGGTGTGGTGCAAGGACACTTTTTCTGATTGGTGTTCGAAGTTTGGGCCTCAGTTTAAAGCCAATTCGTTTAATACTATAATAACAGGCTAACAACAGCACCAAATTAAGCAATGACAATGTGTTAAACTGCTGGTTGTTGTAACATGATTTATGTCATACTTGTATTACACAAACACCTAATTTTTGTAGTGGTTTAAAGGACATAATCAGCCTGTTGGCCTGGGGCAGTTTTGACATTCTTGTGCTTTGGTATGTCTTAAATATTTACTGATTTCAGTTCTTTACAATCTACTGAAACAAAATAGCCTCCAGGGAGAACAAAATGAACAGAAATCACAAGAACTAGTCAACGAACTAAATTTTTCCTAGTTATAGGTATCATGCAGACTTCATAGTCATTTATTCAAGTAATGGAGGCAGGATTGTATGTTAACTTTATCTGTGTTCTCCTTCTCCCGTGGAAAGGTAATGGGACGTGTAGATTTTATCTCAAGTGTGGATTATCATTAACATATGCTTGATAGGTACTAACCTGCTGTGAAAGTTCATAATAGCACTCTTTCTAGATATTCATCCTCCACATGTATGTGCAGGAGATTGAAGAAATTGATGATCTGCGCTGTTTAAGATTTAGTTATAACTGGGCAACTGAAACAAAAACCTTATAAAGATTTGGGCACTTATAGAACTGTTATGGTTGCTTCCCTTTTAAAAATTGTAAATAACTTTTGGCAATGTTCTTGTCCATGTAGGCTGGACCATCTCCTAACTAAATTATGTTGCTAATATGCCAAATAAGCTTAATATAAGTATCTTATAAGTCAATCCTGTAATTCCTAATTGATGACCAGACATACTGATCCAGTTATTAATAAATGTTTCTGACTACTCTGCTCCATTTGTTTGTTTTATTCATTTTCGTGAGAGTAGACCTTTGTAGTATTGGCTTTATCTTGATGTTGACTGGGTACATAGTTTGACTGTGTACCTTAGAAGTACCACGACTGGGTATATAGTTAGACTGTATATGCTAGAAGGTAACCAAGATGTATCTGATGACCTTACAGCGGAAGGAATTGTATTTTTATTGACAGTCATAGTTCACTGGTTTTTTTTCAGGTTGCTTTGTTGAAGTTTACGGGATACAAGCTATTAAATAACATTTCAGACACTGGAAAGGCATTTCTGATCATTCTTATTACGGACATTTTTTTGGGGTAAAACATAGGAATATTAGTTTGCCTTAGCATCCTTGCAAAGTTATAATGTAAAAAGCATTTTTTTTTCCCAATGTTTTCCTAATGTATGAATACCAAACTGATCGTACACAAATTTTTAAATAAATGAGTAAAAGTATTGCACCTAGGGGTGGAAATGAATTCAGATCGAATATCACAGTATTCGTATTTGTATTCGGTTCATGTTTGACTATCCAAATTCAAAACGAACAGGGAACGTGTTATCGAATTCGATTCGATTAGTATTCGAGTATTCGATAACTATTCGCTAATATTCATTAACAGCTTTTATGTAGTCTTTTGTGAATTATTCGATTCATATTCGGTAGATATTCGGTAAATATTTGATAAATATTCGTTATCCTATTCTAGTCTTATAATGCAGCCAAACATGAGCCCAACAACCCATGAATATGCAACCTAGTGATAAATGTAATATTAACAAATCAAAAACTACTTATATGAGGCTATATGTGTAAAATAACTTTTGGGATGCATAGAAAATGTAATAACTAAAAATTATAGGTCTAAAATGTAATATATAAATGAATAGTTTATCGAACAAACTAATCGAATATGCTTGTGTTAAATTATATTCATTTATGAACCAAAAACTATTCGTTTGTTGTTAAATGAACTATCAAATTGAATATAGCCGAATTCTTAGGCAAATAAATATCGAATTATTTGTTAAATACTTAGTTCATTTCCACCCCTAGTTGCACCAAACTGATCTTTTCTCCTTCCCCAACAGATGGGGTAAACATACTGAGCTGATTTGCTTCTCCTCCATGATTCATTTCTTGATTATCCTAACCTATCCACTTTTGGACTAGTATTCATATGAAAATTCATTTCTTAGAGCTGTGGTTTGTCCCTTCCCCCCTCAACTATGCATTTCCACCTAGATATGTGGGAGACAACCACCTTCTCCTTTTCCCTTTAAACCACTGTCTATCTATCAGTGCCCTACTGTCTATTCAACAGGAGCACTGTTATGTCTACATAGTTCACAGCCTACTGCCAACACACTGGATATTGATAAGTCAATATTGATAATATTTTTCATGTAAGTTTTGGTTATATTTTTCTGTTGCTATGTTTCACATGTGTCATTCATTAATATTTGTAGCTCTTTCACACTTGTGCATTGTAGTTGTGTATCAAGGAGTTGTATGTTGCTTTCCTTTTACTTTATCAGATTTTATTCATTTTAATGTCACACAATCTAAATTGGATTTTGCAGATACCATTCTGAGTCTGGATGGCAGGCTTTGGTAGAAATAATTCTTGACCATTACGGTCTTCAAGTTGATCCGGCAGCAATAACCATTTTCATTTGCTTTGTTCCAGTAGTAATTGATGCCTGTGTGAAGCTATGGGTAGGTATCTTTTTTGTCTGCTCCTTTGATGGGCTGGTTGGTCAAAATATATATGGATTCAGAATGTGGTAGCATAAGTTGAAATTTTCAAAGGCGTATGAACCCCTAACATATTCCACTGTTTTAAAAAACCTCCGCCTAGTCCGCTTAGGCGTACGCCTAGACCTAGGCGGTACCTAGGCCACCTAACTAGTGCCTAGCGCCTAGACGGTATTTAGGCTGCCCATCTAGATTTTACGAGTGTTTAAGGGAGCATTGTCTACTTACGTGGATTGCACCATGTATGTCTTGATTGTGATTTTATGTGTCGTAGCCTACACGTCCTCTAAACTCCATTAACCTCCAAATATGAACACCCCCACTACCTCTAACCTTCAGCAAAACCTCATCGACCACCACTTAAATGAAGAAAGAAAAAAACGTCCAGAAACCGCTTAGGCGCCCGCCTAGGCGACTAAGCGCTGGGCGTCAAGTCCGCCGTTTAGAAGCGCTCAGCTTTTAATGTAACATTGACATATTCTTTAGTATAGAAGTTCAGGTTTGAGCAGTCTGGGCAGTTTTCTATACCCCACGTGATACTTAGAGAAAACAACATTTGCAGTCTACAACCCACGCCTGCAGGTTATGTTAGAATTTAAGAGAATCTAGACCTGGAGAACTTAAGTAGTGCCAAATAGGTTCATATCAGTATTTTCCCAGCGGTTTTGCATCTGTAGCAGTAGCTGGCGGCCAACAGTGGTCAGTAATGAAGGGCATATCAGGAATAACAAATGGTTGCTATCTAATTGTAGGTTAACCAACCATTTTATAAATTTAATTAGAATAATCGACCCGTTTCACTTTTAATTAGCATTTTCGACCCTGTTTCAGCCAGTTGGCTGAAACTGGGTCGAAAATGCTAATTAAGTTGAAAAGGCTTCATGGGATTGTGAATCCCGTGAAGTTTAACATGAAATTACGTGGGAAATTAATCAAAACAACCTATTATGATGAAATAGTGAGAATATGTAAAAAATTAGGAGAAAAACCGAAAAAGTTTAAAGATTTTACCGAAAATTAGTTCAAGCTCTAAATTTGAGATCCGGCGAACTCCGACAAACTTTGGTAAACTTCGGTCCAATGGAGGTTGGCGGCGATGGAGAAATGTGATCGGGGATGGTGGGATTGTAGGGGGGTCAGAAATGGCGGCGAATCTAATCCTAGTTGGGAGGGAGAGAGGGAGGAGAGAGAGGGGATGGGGGGGAGAGAGAGAGAGAGAGATTATGCGGTCTAAGTAAGGTGGGGTCGGGTAACTTCACGAGATTCTGAACCCCGTGAAGTTGCAGAGTTCATTTGGCAGAGAGTTCAAACTGGAGCTCTTCATCGAGTGTAACCCGCAAATTTACAGGATTCTGAATCCTGTGAAGTTTGCAGGCTCTCGACCATGGCTGTATAGGTGCATAGGCGACTAGGCGTGTAGGGTCTCGAGTGGTGGTGTGGAGACACCTTCCAATCCCGTGAAGATTGTGATATTTCTTTGCATCCCTTAATTATCCTAAACTTCATAGGATTCCCAGTCGTGAAGTTTTTGTAATTTATTCACCATTTTGGACCCAATTCCAGTCAAGTGGTTGAAATTGGGTCGAAAATGCTAATTATCTGTCTGAGACTGGGTCAAAAATACTAACTACATGTTAAACGGGTAGAATTTTGTAATTAAATTTCAAAAGGGGTTGATTTTGAAAATTTGTCCTAGAATATCAATATTTAGAAAGCTATTCGTAGCTTTATGGGGGACCGATACCTGAAAAACCTATACCTAATTAACAAATTGACGCCTAAGCCTCTGAGGTTATGGTAATAGGTACACCTGAATGTAAAACTGTGGAAGCGGATGAAGAAAAAATGAGTTGACTGCTAAGTGCTGAGTAGAAGAGAAAAGAGGGAAGCAATAACTAATTAATTAATTGAGGTTTAAAGTTTATGGTGACAGATATTAATGAATTATAGCAGAAATATTTAATATGACTAGATACACCTTGAAAAAGGAATATAAGTAATCAATATTCAATGTGACTGAATACACCTTGAAAAAAGGAAAATAAGTAACCGAAGGAAAACACAAAAGACTAGAAGAATTCGGGAAACATGCAGCTTCATGCCAAGATGCTGGGATTTTTAGGAAAAGGTACAACAACAACCACCACCACCAAGGCTTTATTCCAAGTGTTTGGGATCGGCTATATGAATCTTATTTTTTCATTCCATTCTGTTATGGATCATCTCTTCCGTTAAGTTAGTCTTAATCATATGCTTCTTAATTGCTTCTAACCAAGTCATTCTAGGTCTACTTCTAGATCTCCTAGCGCCATTAATTCTAATATTATCATTTTTTCTAATTGGTGCACTAATAGGTCTCCGTTGTATATGACCAAACCATCTTAATCTATTCTCTTTCATTTTATCATCAATAGGCGCAACATCTAATTTACTACGGATTCACTCATTTCTTATCCTATCTTTTAATGTATACCCACAAGACCATCGCAACATTCTCATTTCTGCTACACTCATTTTTTAAACATGTTTTTTAATTGCCCAACACTTCGACCCATAAAACATAGTTGGTCTTATAAACGTCCTATAGAATTTGCCCTTTAGTTTCGTTGGTATTCTACGATCACATAAGACTCCCGAAGCACTCATTTATTTTAACCATCCCAATTTGATTCGATGCACAACATCATCATCTATCTCACTATCATGCCTAATGATTTTTAGGAAAAGGTAATAAAGGAAAAATATATTTTATAAAAATTTGTCTTCTTTTTAAGATGTGGGGAGTTTTTCAAACTTGAAAATCAGACTTCTTGTGTGACTTTTTTGAAAATCAAATTGTAAGCACCTAGAAAAATATCAAACGGCTTACACGGGCAGAAGAAGAAATGTAATAGGGAAAGAATGTTGTGCGCAGCGAAAATTTTGGCAGAGTTTCTGGTGTACTATAAGAGAGAAAGATCAATAAGAATTCTTGTCTCACTAAGAAAACAAGAATCTGAAGTGAATATCTCAACAAAGTGAGATATCGGCTCTTCTTCTTATCAGTTCTAGGACTGACTTGTCGAGGGATTCTAAAAACTATTACAATGGTCATAAATACAAACAAACCAATTTTACGTGGTTCGACAAACTGCCTACGTCCACGGGACAATGATGGGGAGATCTACTATTAGAAGGAGAGATACAACTAGGGTTTATAATCTCACAATCTAAACCCTCTCACAAACTCTCAAATCCCTCACACAAAATCTCTCTAAAAGGGATGATCAAACTCTAAAACGACTGCACAAAACTCCAAAAGAATCTCTGCTGTTCTTTCCCCTGCACGCCATTTTTCCCTCTGCTTTTGATCGCTGCCTTTTTCCTAGCCTCTGCACTCCCTCAAATTTGTACCTGCGCCGTACTTTCACAAAGCAAACCGCAGCGAAAAAGAAATCCACCTTGCACACTTAAAACCTAAGAGCTGAAGCTATATATATAGCTTTAACCGGTCAATCAGGTGGGCCTTCTCTTTGTCCGCTGAACCAACCAATGAAAAAACCACTTCTATCTCTTCACACGGAAGAGCTTCTCATCTCTTCACATAAGTGCATCGAAACCCGCTGGGCAATAGCCTCCCACGCTGTTTGCTTTCGCCTGCTAGATCTTAGCCAGCCTCCCACTTCACATGCGTTCACAATTCTCCACCTCAGTGAAGTTTCTTCCAAAACTGAACCGACACCAACCAAAACAAATGTCTCACTTGTTGCGTCCAGGACAAAGTGAAACAATTCACGACAACAGACTCAATCCACAACAAGTCGAGAACCCAAACGAGAATGTAATCACTCTTCAAATGTCGGTATTAACTCACCAAATCGGTCTCACCCCTATCAAATAATCCAACCCGGCTGCATCATAAAGACTGCCTATGTATCCTCTTGCCCAAGGAATCAAGACGAACGTAGTTCACCCAAATGGCCTTCAAAGACCTCAATCCACTAAAAGAGTTTGCAACTCTTCTCCAATATCATCAATTCTGCGGCTGATAGCACCTTCAATGGCCTCAAACACCTCCACCTGAGGTGAACCAATAGTCATATCCAAACTGCATCTATCAGCTATACTCGAATCAAAACCCAATTCATCATCTGCACCAAATCCAAATGATCCCTAAGCTGTGTCACCTCAGTTGAAATCCCAAACAATACAGTATGATCTGGAGTAATCTTCACCCAACATGGAGTAGCATCACACTCCCCCCGCTACGATACATCTAAGGTCTGTCCAAAACTTTTCACCTGCTGAGAGTCAATTAGCTCCCTCATCGAAGCCTCAACCGAAGTGAAACTACTAGACCAAACACCCAATTGAGTTTTACCTTCTATCACAGCAGTTGATAACTCTTTAATAGGATAACCCAAATATATCGAAGCCTCAGTCCAGAAATTCTTCTGTAAACCATTGCTTGACAATAAACATCGATCCTCCTCCAGCAAGGCACGGTTCTCTAAATTTATCACCCTATCTAGCTGCCCCAAGATTTTTTTTCTAACGAAGTGTCTTGCAATGCCGTGAGCTCGGCTCCAATACAGAAACAGGTCCATCTTATACCTCCTATCAAAACCAGAATGAAGTATCTTCACCTTTCTGTCCATCTTACACTTCTTCAAACTGTTAGATACTACTAGGACTTTCTTCAAAGGGGATTTGGTTGTAACCCAAACACGTCTAGAACAGTCACCAACAAAGGAAACCAAACGCCTATTACCTCCCAATGATGCCCTCTTGGAAGACCCTCAAACATCCACGTGAACACCCCCAGAACGACCCTTAGCACGGTGAATAGATGTGTCAAACTTTACCTCGGTCTTCTTGCTCACATCAACATGTTCACTGGACTTCAAACTGCAGGTCTTCACATCCTTTTTCAATCTATGCTAGGAATCAATACTGGAATGACCAAGCCCCAAATGCCGCAG